AAGAATGCAAAAAAACTCAGAGCTGGAATGACTTTTCATTCATAGATGTTATCCAGTAATAACTCCTGCTGTTTATAAACTCTCCTGTAAAGCATAGAATCATAGAATGTTAGAAGTGGAAGGTTCTTTAGAAATCATCTGGTATAGTCACATCATTTTACAGATGAGGAAACTGAGGACCAGAAGAGAAAATACTTTTTCCGAGATGTTATTTTTATTATAAATACTCAATTATCTCTAGGGATAAGGTGAATAAGACCTCTTAATTGAAGAGGGGTTGGAATTCTATATAATGCTAGGTGATCTTTTTCGACTAATAGCTGCAGGTCAAAAGTATTGTGTGTTGCCTGTCTCTTTCAGATGCAGTCTTGAGGCTGACAAACTCATCCAATAATTGTTCTGGTCGTGTTGAAGTTTATCACAATGGACAGTGGGGGACAGTTTGTGATGACAACTGGGGCTTACAGGATGCTGAGGTGGTCTGCCGACAGTTGGGGTGTGGACCAGCTGTTTTGGCCCCAGGAAATGCCTACTTTGGTAGAGGTTTTGGACCCATCACCTTGGATGATGTGAGGTGCAGAGGGAATGAATTAAATCTATGGCAGTGTCAGAATAATGGCTGGTTCTCCCATAACTGCGGTCACCAGGAAGATGCTGGTGTCATCTGCTCAGGTATTTCATGATTTCTTAATCACCCCAGGAAGACATATATTTCATTTATGCATTCCTTCATTCAACAAATATTTACTGAGAACCTACTATGTGCAAAACTTCATGGTAGGTGGTATGGGGAAGAATATACATTCCCTGCCCTCACAGAAATTGCAATCTAACAGGAGAGACAAAACATACCCAAATAACAGATGTTCAAGTAACGTATAAAGGGTTATGGAAGTTAGGGGGAGGAATTGATTACTTCCAGGTTATTTTTTTCTGGGGGCAGGCTGCATCCAGGAAATCTTAATAAAAGAGGTGACTTTTGAATTAATCTTTGAGAGGTATATCCAAATTAGATAGGTAGACCTTGGAGGAAAGAATGTTCAGAATATGAACAATGACATGAGTAAAGGCACAGATGAAGAAAAGTAGGAGAGTTTGGTGAATGGTTTTGCTGAAACTTAGTTTGTGGGAACATAAATAAAATTAGAGAGGTAGGTTGGATCCAGGTCATGGTAAACCTAGATTGCCAAAGGGAGGTGTTTTGGAATTTATTTGATAAGCAATAGGGAGCTCTTGGAGTCTGTTTGTTTTTTTCTGGAGGGGGAGAGGAGAATAGGAATTGGGAATGTGTGACAAAATGAGATCTATATTTTCATTAGATTAGTCCATCAGTGGTTTATTCTGGATAGATTAGAAGGGGGTGGGGAAGCCATAGGCAGAGACCAATTAGGAGTGATTAAGCGACTATTGTAAATGTACAGGTGAAGAGTGACTGAAGGTTTGAACTAGGATGGAAGTGGTAGGAGTAGAGAGAAGAGTAGGGGATAATACATATTGCAGAGGAAGGGAGGGAGAAGGAGGAGTCAAAGGAAACTCTAAAGTGTGAAGTCTGGGTTATAGGAAAGATGGTAGCACTAAGGACAATGGAAGAGGGGAAGAAGAATTGGTTTGGAGATGATGATGAATTTGATATTAAATTGTTGAGTTCCTAAAGCACAAATTTAGGGTTAATAATAGCAAATTTAGGGAGAACAACAGGAATGTTAGAATAGGTGTATAGCCTCCTAAGGTGACTACTTTAAGGGTTGTAGTACTGGTTTAGATGTGTAAGTTCTGTCAAATTTTTCTTAAAATCAATTTCATTTGGTATTGAAGTTGTCAGAGCTCATGAATTTGTATGTGTACATTAATAAATGTCAGCTGGTGTCCTTATTTGCTAAAAACAAACCCCATGGTGTACATCAATGGTGCATTATGCTCTACTGTACTTTTATTTATTTTGTTAAATATTTCTTAATCACATTTTAATCTGATTCAGGTCATATGTGAGAGCGTTTGCTGTAAGCATTAATGTAGCTTGTGGGCCTCTCCCTGCCTCGTTAAAGTCAATCAGGTTAATGACTTTTTCACTATGACCATCTTAGGCAGAAGAGAAAGGAATAGGTTTTTTGGAGAAATCCACTTAGGTCAATACTAAATTAGCTGCTGGAAAATGGAAAATTTTCAGTTAGTCCGGTAGCTAATTTGGTTTTCCCCAGAGGCTAGGTAACCACCTTGATGGACTTTTCTTCCTTCCTCTCCCCATACTCTCCCCTCCCAATTCTACCTCACTCATATTTCTGCAGGAGTGGGCTACCTGGCCCCAGGCAACAATTGTGAGTTTCCTTCTCCCAAGTAAAGGAGATTCAGGAACTCACTAAATCAGGTGGGTTGCTAGAACCAAGTTTGGTCAGGATGCCTGGTGAGTGCATCAGGGAAGGAGAAGTCCCTTTCTATTCTGTTGCACACACTCATTTGGCCTCTCATGTGCAATGCTTAGCTTTCTGCTCCCTAGGCTTGACTGCCTCCTCAAATCCATCTGCCAAAATCCCTTTGAAGTGCATTGCCAGGACCCCGTTCAGTATGGTTGAAAATACTGGGCCCTAGTCTTCCAATTTGTAAAATGACAGTCAGTCTAAATGCTCTCCAAAGTCTCTTCCAGATAGGTCCAGGTCATCAAGCATCAGACATACAGTCTCTCTCTCTCTCTCTCTCTCTCTCTCTCCCCCCCCCCCCCCCGTTTACAGGGTATGTTACTGTTGTTCATTTTGCAGCTTAACCAACTATTTTTCTTTAATATCCACTTTTGATCCTGACACTACCTTTTCCTCATCCCTGTGCTTTTTCTTTCTTTTCTTTTTTTTTTCCAATTACTGGATCTTTCCCTCTCTACCTTGGTGAGACGATATAGTTTTCATAGACACTCTTAGAGCTGCCCATCTGCCGGCTAGGTGATTTTGTCAGAAAAGGCCAAGTCTGGACCTGGTTCATTTCTAGATCTCTAGTATCAAGAGTTAAGGAATATCCAATAACTTCCCAAATTCTTCTAGGTTATTTCCTGGGTGTTCTACAGCAAAACTAACCTACTTTTTAAAATCCATATCAACAGATCGTTATCCAACTCCAGTCTCCCCATCAACTCCACCAGTAACATGTAAGTGGATTGTCCTTGATTTTTCAGATGGGGAATTCGGGTGCTTTGGCTGCCTATCTGCTTTACATGTTTCTCATCTCTGAGTGATATAATATAGTGCCAGAGGCAATGAAAATAATGAATGCATGATTTCTCTAAAGCACTTAGCAAATATCTGGTACATCGTAAGCACTATGTAAATATTTGATATGATGTGATATTACCATCAAAATTATTGTCATTAATTATTATGCCAAAATAGACATATATGAAATCTTTATAGGTTGTAAATAATGACAGCTAAGTTATCTGTAAAGTCATATTCTTAGACCTAGAAGGATCATGTAGTCCACACATTTTAAGCCTTTTTTTGTGCCATGGACTCCTTTAGTAATTTGGCGAAGCCTGTGAACCCGTTCTCAGATTATTGTTCTTAAATGCAGAAAATATAATATGTAGTATTACAAAGAAAACCAATTATATTGAAATGCAGCTAACAAAATAAATATTTTTAGGAAATAAGTTTGAACACCCCAAGAGAAAAGCCCTAAATAATGGCCCAATCTTCCAATCCATGTAAGGATTCTCATCTCTCCCAATAATGACAATATACTTCAATACATCAATAGTCCCTGAATTCATCAGTGGGTATTCCTTCCAATGATCCAGTTTACACCCTTCTACCCTTTAGTAGACAAGCCTATGAGTAGAGGTTGCCAACATCAGAATGAGTCTCTTCAGGGGCAGCTAGATGGCACAGTGGATAGAGCACCGGCCTTGAAGTTAGGAGGACCTGAGTTCAAATCTGGCCTCAGACCAAACACTTGACACTAGCTGTGTGACCTTGGGCAAGTCACTTAACCCCAATTGCCTAAAAAAAAAAAAGAGTCTCTCCAAACTTCGCAAGTCGGATCCTTGAATAACAATCCTAATCAAAAAAGAAGAATATTAAGAGTTTCACACTTAAATATATAACAAGTTTAGCAGGGCCTGAAACCTTAACTGAAATAACTAATCCTCTAACTTTAAGCTACTAGTAGTTAATCAAGGTTTATGGCCTATATGCCAATCAATGCCAGTGTATAATGCAAGGTAGCAAAGGATAGGAATGATTTTTGTTATATGACCAAATAAAATTAGGCCTCTCCACTTTTTATTTTTGTTTTTCATAGGCAATTGGGGTTAAGTGACTTGCCCAGGGTCACACAGCTAGTGTGTGTCAAGTGTTTGGTCTGAGGCCAGATTTGAACTCAGGTCCTCCTGACTTCAGGGCTGGTGCTCTATCCACTCTGCAACCTAGCTGCCCCCTCCCCACTTTTTAAAATAAAAACATGCTTCCATCAATATCAAAATATTTTTGCAACTTTCATAGGGGCAATTACCCTGCAAATTTCATTTGGCAATTTCACAGAGTTTTAAAGGCATCTTCATTTGTGTGGTAGTTTGCTTCACATCCCAATAATATGTAAGCAAAGTACAGCATATGTACAAATGAGATGAATGCTTTATTGTTAACTAGGCACATAAATGAAAACAGATGGTCTGTGGCTCTGACTTAAATCTCTTGCGAAATTGCCCCCAGAGTGTTCTGAAATTAAGGGGTCAACTCAAGCAGAAATTTCCCCTAATCTAAATGGGCACCTCTGACTTAAACTCATTGTAGACTTCCTCGGTACTGAGGTTCACGTCTTGGTTTCTGGACCAGAGTGAGGCGAGGATTAGTCTGACTGCTACATCATAAGCATTCCTTCTGAATTCAACAGAAAGCCAGGTTTTGAGTGACAAGAGAGACCTATCTTCTTCCTCTGGTCACTGAGACACTTTCAAATACATGACTAACAGCCAACCCTTGAGCAAATAATCCCTCGTTTTTCATAATGACTTGCTTTGAGTCTTTGTAATTTGCAATACCTTTATTTCATCCCGCAGCCCTGGAAGCAAGATGTAACTGGTTGTTACAGTCTAAAATCACAAATGAATTTTGGATTTGTTTTCCCTATCAGTTAGATGAAAAACTCTGCAGTCTGAAGTAATTGCTTAAAGGTTTCTAGAAATACTTCAATAAATTAAATAAAACTTAGACTTTTGTATCAAACTAGCTCTGGGCTTGTAGAGAGATCTCTATACCAGACAACCATTGTCACTGGCATCAGTCAATCAATCAACAGACATTTATTAAGCACCTGCTTTTGCTAGGCATTGAGGTTGTAAAGAATGAAAAAAAAATCCCTTCATACCGGCAGCTTACATTCTAATGAAGGAGACAGCAAATATACATAGAAACTTAGACAGACTTATACACAGGCAGAATTATTTTGAGAGGAAGGGCACCAGAAGTTGAGAGGATCAGAAAAGACTTTATATGGATGGGTTTCCAGTAGATCTAATTACTAGAGACAATGCTTTGCCCCAGTCCATTCCTGGGCCCACACTCGAAAACTTCTCAGCTAATCTTGCTGGAACCTTGTATTCAATTGGCACAGACAATGAGAATATGGAGTCACCTCCATGCCCCAATATGGCATTGAAGGAGATGAATATTTGTGAAATAATAATAATAATAAAAGCAACAAAAACAATAAATTTAACTTTATATGTATTTTTAGGTTTATTAAATACTTTCACAACAAATATCTCAGTTGATCCTCAGCTGAGAGGCCAATTTGCATAGTGTAAGAGTTGGACTCAAAACTAATAACAACAACAATAATAACTAACATTTCTATAGCACTTTAAGGTTTGCAAAGTATTTTACAAATATCCTCACCACAATCCTGGTATGTTTTATTCTCATTTTATAGATGAAGAAAATGAGGCCAAGAGAGGTTCAATGGCTTGCTCAGGGTGACACAGCGAGTAAATGTCTGAGGTCAGATTGACTGAGCCAAGATTTGAACCTAGATTCTTCGACATTTTGTCCAATATTCTTTCTATTATGGTGTGCTGCACCTTACATTTATATACACATAGCAATTTGTGGCTATGGGGTACTGACACACACATACATATACATGTATGTGTGTATGTACATGCACACAAATACATATATATAATGTGTATATGTATACACATATAATCTTTGAATTGAAATACCCTCAGAAGTCAACTTGTCAAAACCTTTCCTGAAGCATGAATTTCCTCTCCAACATCTTTGAGTGGTCATTCAACCTTTGCTGGACTCCTTCTGGAGACAGGGAACTCTCTGCCTCTTAAAGCTGTCCATTTTGTTCTTAGATAGCTCTAATTATTAGTAAATTTCCCCTTTACTTTCATTGTTTTGGTCCTTGTAATATCTTTCAGAGTCAAGCAGAATGTCTACTTCTTCCACATTATAGTCTTTGATTCTTGTTATGTTTCCATCTTTAGAGCTGTTGAGATTCTTTCCAGTCCAGTAACCTACCACTGTTCTCTGTTTCTCAAAGCTGGTGGATTTATAATTTGCATGGCCTTTTTTTTGGTGGGGTAGAATGAAGTGGGCAGGAGAAGGAATTAAAAAATCATTGGACTGGACTTGGCTATCTGTATATGTATATTCTGTAAATTAGGGAACTTTGATTGGTGCCGCAAGGCACCATAGTTCTTGACATTCCTGAAATAGTAATATATTGTTTGTTAAGAGATGACTTATTTGACAACCTTGGTATCTAGAGGACTGCTGATAATCACAAAATAAGTACAAGAAAGGAAGAAAGAAAGAAAGGAAAAAGAAAGAAAGAAAGGAAAAGAAAGAAAGAGAAAGGAAGGGAGGAAGGAAGAAAAAAAGAAGAGAGAAAGAAAGAAAGAGAAAGGAAGGGAAGAAGAAAAAAGAAGAGATAAGGAAAGACAGAAAGAAAGAAAAGAAAAAATAAATTATATTGCCTCTGCTCTGATCCATTATTCTATTTCCATCTCTCTTCCCCAGCACTTTAATCAGTGGGGGAAGGGAACAGATACAGAAAAAAAAAAATCTGCCTCCCTGCATGCCTGGGATTTTGCTTCTCAAAGCATGGTGTGGTGCTGAAAAGCAGATTTATTTGACTATTCCTATGATGGAAATGTTCTTTTTTGTTTTGTGGATGATACTTATAAGAGCAGTGACTTCTTGGTTTTGAAAAGGGAATTCTACAGGAGAGAAGGTGGTTTGTTAGTCTCCTGCTTTCCATAGTCTTTATTTCCTAAGTGATATGATATTATGCCCAAAATAATTACATTGACATTAAAGAATGCATGGTTTCTCTAGGTGGCCCCAAATGGCATAAGAACCTGGTTTTAGTTTAAAAGGATATTTTACATCCATTAATCTCATTTGATCCTTGCAACAGCTCCATGAGACACATAGGACAAGGATTATAATCCTTCTTTTATAGATCAAGAAAGTGAGGCCTGAATTTCTGTTTTGTTTCTACAGCAAAGTTCTCTTGTGGAGGATTCTTTACCCAGCCCTCAGGATTAATTTTCAGCCCAAATTTCCCGGGGAACTATCCAAACAATGCTAATTGTGTGTGGGATATTGCAGTCTCAAACAACTACCGAGTGACCATAGTATTTGAAAATGTACAGTAAGTGAAGAGCTTCTTTACAGAATATAAGACGAGCCAATCAAAATACTGAGTATGAAAATGGATAATATCAGGTCCAGAAGCACAGATTTTGCACTACTGGGCATCTAGAAATAAATACGGGACAGGTCAATGCATAAGGGGTGGCGACTTCTCCTCATCCCCTTGTCAATCAGCAGCAAGCCAGTAAGTGGTGGTTTTAATCAACAGTCATAACATCCTGATCAGTCTTGGATGGTGATGGGCAACTCAACCAGCCAGTGACATGGGATGCAAGAATCAAGGAGTTCACCAAACTGCTGCTCTTCCTACTTGCCCCCAATGCCATGCTGCCTCAACCTAAGAAGAGAAGGGAGCCCAAGTAATGTCTGAGGATGTAGGCCATGTTCAGTCACTTCAGGGGCCACTGCAGAATCCTCAGACTGCTACTGTATAGTATAAGTCACTGAGGTGGAAGGGGAGACTTGTAGTGGGGGCCTGGGTGTTCCTGAGTCTTGATTCTGACATATGCTGGTTGCGGGATACTGGGCAAGTCATGTAACTTCTCAGTGCTTGAGGCAATTCAGACTACAAGTTCCATCTCCCCTATCAGAACTGGAACTTTGGTTTTCTGATTGCCATTTCAATGGTCTTTCAAATTGGGCACAGTATCTCCCATCAATATAATTTTAAGTCATTTGTCCTCCACTGCTCCTCCCTCTCCCCTCCATGTTATTTTAAGATACAGCTGTAATTAGTGTGAGGAAGCCATCATCCCTGAGTTGGCCTGGAAGTGTGGGTCACAACTCCTATAGACCACACTCAGTGTTCTATCACTATATCCACTTCTTCAAGGGACTGCCTTATGCCTCTCCCCTCCCACAGGAGTGAAGTTCGGGGAGGTGGGGCAGCTCTGTATTGTTTCCACCTGCAGTGGGAATGCTTATCCTCTACCTTCTTCTTTCTCCTCCTTACCCAAGTCGCTAGGATAGACTGTCTCCTGTGCCCTCAAAAACGAATCTGGTCCAAGTGTGGACTTGGTTTATTTTAGCTTGGCTTTATAGATTGTGGTCTTAAGGACCAGTGAGCCATATGTATATTAGGATTAAGGAGGGAATGGTTTTTATTGGTATCAGAAAAAATAGCTTAAAGTCAATTGGGGAGAAGGAAATTTGGAGTGCTTTGCAAATCATTACATTTATTAGGTAGATGGTTGGCCTTCAGTGAAGGCAGTTCCCTGTTTTGTGTGATTTGAGGCACCAATTTATCTCAAATATCTTCCTCAATACCCTGAATTATGCTTCAATTTCCTAAGTTAAAGAATTATTCTCCAGAACACAAATTTCTAGTTATGAGAGATAGCATCTTATATCATTAGAACCTATCAATGAAAATCAGGTTATTCGAGAAATCGGAGAGAAGAATGGCAAAATAGAAAGGGAAACATCATTTGGGAAGGGGAGTGGGAAAGAAAGGCCAGATAGCACAAGAGTACTAAAGAGAAGGGGAAAAGCAGATGTGGGGACAGCAGGGGATTGGATTTCTTACATCTAAGCCAGGATAAAACTAAGATATCCTCTGCTTTTGACTTTTTTAGGTTGGAAGAACACTGTAACTTTGATTATATTCAAATCTATGATGGGCCTTACCAGACATCTCCATTAATTACACGAATTTGCAATGGAGGCAGAGGCTCCTTTACATCAACATCAAACTTCATGTCCATTCAATTCATCAGTGATTTCAGTGTCACCAGAAAAGGATTCCTGGCTCAGTACTACTCTACACCAGATCACGATGGCACTTGTAAGTTTCATCTTCAGTAAAGTGATTGACTAGTTGGGTGACCAATTGGCCACTGAATTCTCAATCAATGAATTTGCTTAGGTGAAATGGAGGGTAGGGGAGTGGAAATGAATGCCATTAGTCAAGTTGTAGACTTTTTACGGGCTCTGTGGTTTCCATGTTTCTTTTCCTAGTTTTTGAGGTATTGGATGGGAAGTTGTGATGAGGCAGTTAAAACAAAACAATTTTAAAGTTGGAAAAGTTTTCTTCTAACTCTCAACCCTATGATTTTATTTACTTAGAGTTCACCTAATCTAAGTTCCTCATTTTAAAGAAGGGAAAGGAAGGTTCAGAGAAGAAAAGAAACTTGAAGAGTATAACACAGCTAGTTAATAGTATCACTGGGAATAGATTTCATGTTCCCTTATCTCCAGTTAAGAACTGTTTCCAACACACTGTGAAAAAAAATGAATCCATGCTCTCACTAGAGGGGATATTTCCCTTATTATTTCAGATCTCATTCCATCAATACTTTATTATTCAGTACAATTAACAAGGAATTTTCTATGGCCTTCCATAAATCCTCTCAAGAAATCTTCCCTCTTCATCCCCATGGACTGAAAGTCTACCTCTGATTCTGTTAATATTTCACAGATATTAGTATAGCCTTTGGAATGTATAGCAGTTATCCCTCCCTTGGGTCACTTTGGCCAAAGAATTCCTCTTCTAGTGGCCAATAGGCCGATGATGATCCTTAATGTACTTAGGTGTGCTGCTCCTCAGAAATCAGACACAGTCTGTCACTGGAATTATACTAGTCTTATTATCTGCCAGAGTTTGTGATTTGGTTGTGTAGCCTTCAAGAATTATAATCACGCTGTGGCATCATAGTAGGAGTCTAGTGGAAGATGAAAAAAAAGAAACTGTAAAAAAATTGTTCAGTGAAATAGAGCCAAATTCCCATGGTACAATGTTTTTCTTTGGGAGTAAGTGATGCTTCTTAGAAAGGTGCATTCATTCTTGCAGACAGCCAAGTTACTGCCCTAGAATCTAATGTAGACCTAGGAATCATCATTGTGATCCATCCTTGTGGTTTATGCAATCCCATATTCTGTTTGTAATGGTGACCAGGGCAGTGTTTGTAGAGACAATGGCTGTCCTCCGTGATGTCAAACCCAGTTAGAGTTCTTGCTCAAATATACCCGTATGCCTTAATAACTCATTATAAATCTTGACATGGCACTATTTTCAGTAGAGGCAAATTTCACATGACAGGTTTTACAGAACCAAAAAGATTTCATTTTAGATTCCCAAGTGATAATAGTGAGTTTCAAGCATATGTGGGAAATTATACTTTTCTTTGCAATGATGAATTATTTTGTTCCACTGGTATTTCCTTATGAAAATAGGTTTATTGATATCCCATGCCCCTACCTGATATAATGAGTATTTTATTGATCAGATCGTGACAAATATCATAACTGTGGAGCTTTGTGGCCTTGGGGTCATGTATTTGAACAGCCTCCCAAATAGGAGTTATGTAAATGTATACCAGGGGGTGGTGCTGCGGTGCAGGGCTGTGCTTATATCACTGATCTATCCTTTTGCTCCTTCAGAGATCCCGTGAGTGTAATTATTTTTTGATTTTTAGATAGTTTTTTTTTGTCCATTATAGTTGTATAGCAATAAATTTTGGCTATGTTGAAGGCCTGCTTATGCCTTGTTGGTTCTTAATGCTCCATGCAATAAAATCTCTATAACAGATGTTATAGACTGTCTCATTGTTTGCATCGTTTCTTTGAGAAGAATAACTATTACCTGTTTCTATTACACCCAAATACACTAACAGGGATTTTATCTTTTGTCCTCCATCAGCTCTAGTGTGCTTTCCAGAACAAATGAAAGTCACCATCCGTAAAAGCTATCTCCAGTCTCTGGGCTATAATTCATTGAATTTTTTCCCGTACAATTCATTCTGTCGGCCTACGGCAAACTCAAGCTATTTCATATTTAATATACCATATAATGGCTGTGGGACAACAAAAACTGTAAGTCTTCAGTTTGTTTTTTGAAGTGCTTCTTGTAAGAGAAAATAATTATTTTTAAAATTCTGAGACTCCCAGTCTACTTTGCTGGTTAACCATCCATACCATTACCACAGTTGGTAGGGTCCTTGTTGATTTACTCAAATTAATATAGCACATTAAAGTTTACATATATGTTATCTCATTTGATCCTCACAATGGCCTTAGAAGGTAGGTGCTATTATTATCCCCATTTTGCAGATGAGGAAACTGAGGCTGAGAGAAGTGACTTGTCCAGAGTGTCACATAGCTAGCAAACATCTGAGACAGGATTTGAACTCTGGTATTCCTGACTCAGAGTACAGGGCTCTAACTTCTATGCCAGCTAACATGTAATAGTGATAATTCACTCTAATATGGAACATCAGAGGTCATAAAATAGTTTCATATGCTTTTCCTTATTTGATTTGCACCACATTCTTCTGAGGTAGGTTCTGTATATGGTTTCATTCCCATTTCATTGATGAAGAATTGGAGGCTCAGATAGATACAGTGACGTGATTGTACAGAACTAGTGGATAAATCAGAATATGAAACTAAATCATTCTGACTCCATGTCTTTGGCTCTTTCTAATATAACATACTTCCTTCCATTTGCATTTTCAACTGTCTTAAGAAGCTCCCTCTTTTTCACATACCCCCATGATAAAAATAACTATTTTTTGGAATAGGTGTCCCAATAACATTAGTTCAGCATTGTAAGATGAAAGGGATAGAGATTTAGAGCTAAAAGAGACCTTAACACTTAGTCTAACCCCCTCATTTTACAGGTAAGGAAACTGAGGTCTAGAGAGATTAAGTTACATGAGTGATAAGAGACAGAAGTGGAATTTAAACCCACATCTTCTGACTCTAAATGCAGTTCTCTTCCCTCTGAACTACACTGCAAATAGCGGTTTTCCCCCAAAATCCAATCATGCTATGTGTAGTGGAATTTGTCAGGAAATATGTGCCACTTTTGTGGCCTTGAAATAATTCTTGATAGAAGGTTTCTAAGTTAAAAGGCATTTTAAACTTAGCACATTGCTTCTCCCATACCTTGGACAAATGTAACTTCTATAAATGATGTCAAATACATATACAAATTAGAAGGGAAGACTACCTTTGTTTTTTTACAACTGATGTTCAATGTTAAGGGTGAATTGCATGGCAACAAAGTAAGTGTATAGTGTTTTTCTTGGACTATATTGAATTAAACAACCAGCTGAAGGCTTTCTCAGATGGATCAGAAAGGATCCGATATGTCTCTGGGTTCTCAAAGGCAATGCCAGTGCAGCTAAAGCTCTGTCAGGCCCTACTAAGTCAGAAAGGCTTTGAGTATTGACCTAGTGAAGATTGTGCATCTGTCTTCTGGGAACAAGCCTCATTAAATTAAAAGAGGCTCACTCTCAAGAAGGTGACTAACTGCTAGATAATAAATTTCTTTTTTGAGCCACAGCCATGATGAGGCATCTGAGGAGGCCTTTAATGGATGGTCTTATTCCAAATAGCTGTAGACCAACATCAAGTACTTTCTTCACCAGTATGAGAATGACTCTTGAATTCATGAAGATTATCTCTTAAGACACGAACTAATCATTGACACCTTGATGGAAGGATCATAGGTCCTAATCTGGAATGGACCTCAGAGGTTTTCTAGTTCAACCCCTTTACTTTTTAGATGGGGAAACTGAGGACTCAAAAAGTTAAATAGCTTGCTTAAGGATGGCAAGAGCAATGGAGCTGGGATTGAAACTCAGGTCTTCTGATTCCAAACGCTATGCTCTCTGACATGAAGTACTTAGTATGATACAGATATACATCCTTGAACCACTGACCCAAATATAGGTGAGATTTATTTTGGAAAAATTAAGGTTAAAGAAATGTAATTTGTCCTGCTACTTATGGACACAGAGCACAAGACTTAGAGTTATTTTCCTGGACAATTGATCAATCAACTTATTAATTAGTATTTATTAAGAGCTTGCTATATGCCAGGTATTGTGCTTATGCTTGGGGAGAAAAAGGCAAAAGCAAAAAAGCCTCAGCCCACTAGAAGCTTACTTTTTAACAGTCTATGGCTCAAGGGGCGAGGCCTAGCCTTCATATGTTATTGCTGCTTCTCACCTTTGGGGCACTTTTGATGCAGGAGTCTTATAAACATCAATCTTGGGAGGAGAAGGGTAGTATGTTGTTTAGAGGGGAGAGGCAGGATTGGGGAGAAGAGGCTGATAAAACTCCTCTAGGAGAGAAGTTGACCTTTCAGGAACTGAATCCCTCACAAAGTACCTGGAAGCAAGTTGTAAAATGTTACGAGGAGTGGTTGTCCTATTAAAATCAACCAGTTAATCGGTATCTGAAATCCAGCATCACTGCACCTCTGAATGTCAAGGGAACTAGGAGAACATCTAGTAAAGTCTCACTTTTAACAAATAAGATAAGGAGACCTAAGAGGACAAATGATTTGCTTAAGAGAATTAACGAAAGACCAGAGACTAGAAGGCAAATCTCCTGATAGCCAGTCTGATTTTCTAAATTGCACTGGAGGGTTACTGCAGTGGCAAGGTAGGTTTCCAAGGAGACTGCATTTAAGACACAAGGCAAGAAAAAACTTCCAAGTCAATTAACCTTTGTGGGCCTCTGTTTTTATTTCTTTAAAATATGATGGCCTTTTCTGGATCACTGCCTTGTTATAGTGGAGGGGCTTGCGTAGCTCAATGAAACTGTGAGCTATGCTACATATGGTTATCCAAGATGGACAGGTCATAGTGGAGCATTCTGACAAAAGGTGACCCACTGGAGAAGGAAATGGCAAACCACTCCAATGTCTTTATTAAGAAAACTCTATGGACAGGATTAAAATGTTAAAAGATGTGACATCAGAAGATTAGCCCCTCAGGTTGGAAGGTGTCCAACATGTTAGTGGAAGACAGAAGGGCCTGGCTGTGCTATGGCCTCTGGGTTCATGAAGGGTCAGCAACAGCAATGAAAACAAGATGGGAGAACTAGGTGACCTCTACGGGCCTTTCCAGGTTTAAATCAATAACCCTATCAAGATTTGCGGTATTGATGCTCATCTGATGTCTTACTTTGGAATCTAGGTTGTTACAGAGTAAAGCATTTAAATAGAGCATTAACTCCAGCATACTGGATTTGAAAGCAGAGGACATAGGTTTAAAATCCTACCTCTGCCGCTTACTATCTGCATGACCTTTAAATTAATTTAGACTTTCAAGGCTTCAGTTTCCTCACCTATAAAGAGAAGAAAGTAGACTAGACAATCTCTAAAGTTCCTTCCAGTTTTATGTGAATGAGCTTCAGTCTCAGAAAACAAAGAGCTATGGGAGGAAAGGTCCCTTCACCCCTTTGGTGTCACAGGGACAAGAGGGAGGAGGTTGCCTATGATAAAGTAGATTCTTGTATTAAAATTGTTCTTTTTCTTTGAAAAATAAGGCTATCTTATATTTGGTATCTACTCATTGAAGTTACCCACAGAATTCTGGGGTAGGAAGACAAAATCAGAGAGTATCCCTGCTCTCAAGTACTTTATATTCTACCAGGAAGATAAAACAGATCCCTTTACCTATCTGGTCAGGTGTGTGTCCCAAGGGAACAAAGGACAAAGAGATACACATTCAGAAATAGTGATACATTTGTGTTAAATCACCATAGTCTAGCTTGGCTGAAGAGTGAGGACAAAATCTTGCTAGTCAAGTTTGACCAGCTTGTTAGCATCAGGCAGTCTTGGTGTGATTTGGCGTGAGTTTCATAAACATCTCAATACTCGTTTGAATGTGTGAATCAAACCCATTTGGGCAGCGTTGCATAGTGGGAAGAGACCTAGATGTGGAAACAGAAAGCCTGGCTCCAAGTCACAGCTCTCTTCCACTAGCTAGCTTTGAGACCTTGAGCAAATCATTTCTCTCTGATTCTTGCTTTCTTCATCTGTAAAATAGGGACAATAATGCGTTCACTCCACATCTCATATGACTGTTGTGAATAAAAGGTCTTTGTAAACTTCTTGCTAATGTATACACATGAGTCACAACGATGATTATTTTTGGTGTGGTTATTACTGTGTTAACATCTTTCTGATTACATCCATGTTTTCCTCTCCACAGATAAACAATGATACTATCAACTATAGCAATACTCTTGTATCAAGTCAACCTATTCAACCAAACAGTGTCATCACAAGACAGAAAGGTCTCCTGCACTTCCATGTTAGCTGCAAAATGCTCAGAAACAAATGGGTGGAAACTGTGTTTATTACTAATGATACTACTGAAATCGAGCAAATCCAGTACAGCAGTTTCCATGTGAATCTGTCTTTTTACGAATCTGCTTCTTTCTTTGCACCTGTGAATAGTACACCATATGTAGTGCAATTAAACCAGCAGTTGTACATTCAAGCAGAAATTCTCCACTCTGATTCCAACCTGGTATTGTTTGTGGATACCTGCATAGCATCCCCAAGTGCAAATGATTTCACGAACTTGACTTATGATTTAATCAGGAATGGGTAAGGACTGTCTCTGCTGCCGCCTAAATTTAGCTTCCCTTCATTAGAATAAAAACTCAGTTTCCTGAAACACTCAAGGGATGGTTTTTCTGGATAATTAGTGCTGATAAATCATCAAGCCCTTATAATAATAATAATAACAACAAAAACAACAATAACAATAATACCTTAGTTTGGGTAGTGGGCTTTTTTTAAGAAAAAAAAGTATTTCAAAGTTCATTTGTATCTAATAGTTCAAATGATCCTCATAACAATCTCATTGAGTAGACTTAGTACTTTTGTACTTATTTGACAGAGAATTGAGGTTCAGAGAAATTTAGTGACTTGTTTGTCCAAAGTCACATAGTAAGTGAGCAACTGAGTTCAATTCTCAATTTTGTGACTCCTAGCTAAGCCTTGTTGCTGAAGAAGTTTTTCAAATATATTATTTCACTTTCCTGCTTAATAAGTATAAGTGAAAAAAATTGAATCTTTCTTGGATGAGAAAGATTTTGTGGCCCAAGGTCATATTTATGAACATCAAATTTACACTTGCTAGATGAAGTATATTAGGTTTATGTACACTGAGTCCAGGTCAACCCAATGGAGGTGAATTTTATTACTAATAAATCACTGAAATTAGATGTAACAAGATGAAGACTAGACAAGAAGTAGCCAGTCTTGAGTTCAAGTCCTAGCTACATGATCATGACATATAATTTAGCTTCTCTGGGCTTCAGTTTTTTCATCTGTTAAATGAAATGACTGTATTAGATGATTTCTAAAGATTTTTGCTTCTTCTCCTTGGCCATTCTATTGCTCATTAGCCTTTCCCCCGAGGAGACTGGAGGAAGTCCAGTTTTCAGGATTATCTTGCACTAGTCCTTTTCAGATATAATAGCACTTTTAGTCATTTCTTGCCCCCTGGCCTTGCTGACATAATTCCCTATACCTAGAATATCTTCTTCCTCATCTTTGGCTACTGAAATCCATCCATCTTTTAAGATCCAATGCCAATCCTACCTTTTCCATGAAGATTTCCTTGATCTTTTGTAGCTTTCAATGGTTTTCTTATGTGCTCATCATATTCTATTTTGTATTATGTTCACACGTGTGCATGCCTTCTTCTCCCTCCATCCCCCCAGCTTCTTACTTATGAGAGAAAGCAAAGTGTAGTGGGAGGAACTTTGGACTTGGAAACAAGAGATCTGCATTCGAATCCTAGCTCTGACCCTTAGTAGTTACATGATCATAGACAAGTGAATTAGCTGTTATCAGTTTCCATTTCTCTGCTTAAGAATTGGAGATAGCCTCATGAGGCTATTGTGAGAAAAGCATTTTATGAACCTTAACATAATACATAGATATGAGTTCTTATTATTACTTGACTGTAAGCTCCCAGAGAGTAAACACCATAGTACATTTCCCTTAACTCTAATGACAGGGCCTTTTACATAGTAGATGCTTAACAAATACTGACTGATTGAATAAATGTTTCTATAAAAAATATGTTCTGAATTTCAACAACTGGCTTACCCACAAACTTTCAGATCTGTTTATGTATGTAATATAATATACATATTATATGTAATTCTACACTAAAGACATGTATATGATATATGCATGTATGTATGCAACTATATATGTCTACTTATCTATCTATAATGGTATAGTAGGAACATTATTGGCTTTAGAATCAGGAGACCTGGGTTCAGATCCTAGTTTTCCCCCTTACTTGTCAGTTGAACAAATCACTTCACCTCCTCTAGTTTCTCATCTATCAGCTGAGGGAGTTACACAGGAGCTCTAAGACTCCTTTCAACTCAAAACCCACAAGTTCTGTTTCCTAATTGACTTACTGCTTCTTAAGTCACTGTTGACATTTTTGCTTTGCCAGAAATTTCTTTGACAAACAGAGCCAATAGACCATGTCTAATCCCAACTTTAGATAAATCCCTTCTCCCCTAGGGTCACCAAAAGGGCCCCATGCTTCTGAATGGGTGATAAGAACTGGGTCATGGTGTTCTCGAGACAATAGGGCAATATTTTATTCTGATGTTATAACCTATTGGTGAGAGCTGTCACTTGAATTTCCTTTGCTTTCAGGTGCGCAAGGGACAACACCTACCAAACATACTACTCACCATACCCGCGTCAAGCGCGTTTTGGATTCAGATCCTTTGCCTTCCTGGAGAAATACCCGGCTGTTTACTTGAAGTGTAAATTGGTGGTGTGTCAGGCCTATGATTATTCTTCACGATGCTACAGAGGATGTGTAACAAGGTCCAAAAGAGACACAAGTTCCTATCAGGAGAAAATAGATGTTGTTTTGGGGCCATTCCAACTCCAGAAATAAGAAGCGAAAGACTGAAATCTGGTAAACTCAAAAACTTGATGCCTTCAGATAACTCTAGAAGCTAAGCAATTATACTAGTTCAATGAGAAAATTAGTTAATGACTAGAATGACAATTCTAATATGGCTAGATTTAATTGTTTCTCTTTGAACCAAATGCTCGTGTAGAAACATCCTGCATTCCCCTTGAAAAAATGTACTTGGTGCCAAAAGACTTCATAGAACAAAGTGATCCTAGGTCTAACTTAAATGTAGAAACCTGGGAAAAGAAATGAGAATTCAGCCAACATTTACTGGCAGGATGCAAAATTCAGGTCGTACATTAAGCTAAAGGGTACATGTGGCAATAATCAAAAGTAATTTGACATGTTCTTTTAGGTTATGTATCCTAATTCACATATTATATATCATGATAGACCGGTAAATGTTTAACAACCAGCTCTTCAGAGAAAAAAAAAATTAAGTGAACACATTTTAAAGTTTTATCTGCATTGATAGTCTTTTATCCATCACTTTCTTAAGTTTAGACAATCAACAAAGCAATAAATCAAATTCCAATTTGTAGCATTTGCTGATTTCCAAGGTCAAAGAGAAAATTTAAACATCTCCTCTTGTGAGCCAGTCAAGCTGGTTCTAGCACACCCCTGAAATGTCAGTTATCTCAGGAAGACAGCCTGATGTGAATGGTGTCAAAGGGGCCTATATGCTAATCACTTTTTTGACCAAGTGTCATATATTTGCTCAAATGGAACAAAAAGAAAGAAAATTGTTCTTTTTCAGCGTAGGGGAAAGATCACAGAACTGGGATTCACAAGGCTGACTTTAGTCTTGGCTTTACTAGTGCTGGGGAAATCATGTCACCTCTCTGGATCTCAGTTATCTCGCCTATCTCATCTGAAAAATGGGGGTAAAAATGGGGGAGCTAGGTGGCACAGTGGATGGAACACTGGGCCTAGAGTCAGGAGGACCTGAGTTCAAATCCAGCCTCAGACCAGACACTTGATACTAGCTATGTGACCCTGGGCAAGTCATTTAATCTCAATTGCCTTATCAAAAAAGAAAAAGAAAAATCGGGGTGCTATAATTTGTACTACCTCTCTCACAGTTTTGTTGTGAAGAAAGCTTTATAAACCTTAAATTGGTCAATCAAGAAAGATTTATTAGGTGGCTACTATATGCCATGTTTTATGCTAGGCACCAGGGGTTACAAAAACAAAAATAGCACAGTTCCTGCTCTCAACAGGAAATACACACACATACATGTGTGCAGGCATATACACATTACCAAAGATCTTTGTACAGTTTTAAGCTATTAAAACATGTACATGTATATATTGTGTATGATAGATATGCATAAATATATATGCTTATATACTATATATGCTACATATGCTCAACATGTATATATAGTAATAATGTCTGGCATTCATATAGTGCCTATTTTGTGCCAGGCACTGAGCAAATTGTTTTGGAAATATTGTTTCATTTAATGTTCACACCAATGCTGGGAGGTAAATGCTATTATACCCATTTTACATTTGAGGAAACTGAGGCAAACAGAATTTAAGTGATTTGCCATGGATCACATAGTAGGTGTCTAGGACCAGATTTTGAATTCAGATATTTTTGACTCTGGACCCAGCACTTTATCTACTGTGCTGCCTAGCTACATAGATCTGTATCTATATATCTATACCTAGATCTATCTATAAATCCATATTTCTATCTCTATAGAAATCTCTATATCTCTTATATCTCCATAGTGATATAGAGATATCCAAGAGATATAAAGATTTCTATATAGATATAGACAGATAGATAAGACTCATATAGATATCTATAGACATGTAGATATGGATCTATAGGTGGATATAGATATATAGGTATAGATATAGATCCATGGGTAGTTATAGTTATAGACTATGCTTCTAGGTAGTGCAATAGGTAGAGTGCTGGGCCTGGAGTCAAGAAGGCCTGGTCTCAGACATTTATTAGTTATATATAAAGATATCGATAGAGACGTAATCTCTAAAATAAATACGAGGCAATTTTGTTAGGGAGAACACTAGTTGCTGGGAGGTAGGTGTAGAGGAAAAACTGGAAAGTATAGGAATCTAGGAATCAGGAAAGGCTTTATACAGAAATTGGTACAACATAAATCATCCTTATTGTGATTTTACAAATAATTATTATGCTTACTATATTAATATTCTATGATTTAAGAATCACAGAATGTTAGAACTAGAAGACATGCATTGGAAATCATTTGTTTCTTAGAGAAGGAAACTGAGAGACAAGTAAAGGAAATTACCTGCCCAAGGTCACACTGTGAAGTTAGTATTTTAGGAATTATAGAGATTGTAGGGAAATATAATGTAATACAAGTAAATTCCAAAGAATTGCTCCTTTTTAGATTTTTTTTTCACTCAGGCAAAGAAAAGATATTCTTAGAGTTAAAACAAAAACCAGACTAAACATCACAAAATACCTTTTGAAATTATTTAGATGACACTTTAACATTTGTATATAATCAGTTGGGTCTTTCTCAGATATGCATCATAAAGAACTTCCTCAAAAGCACCATCTCTGGCTCTTTTTCAACTCTTGGGTTGTGTTCTAGTCCCAGATATTAAATAACTGGGACAAAAATTCAACCGTGTTTTCTCTCGTCTTCTCAGATTGAGCTGCTGCAGATGATGATGGCCGGACTGAATGAATCCCAGGAGGGCTCTAACCCCCCTTGCTGTCTCTGCTGTTGCCTTCTTTTTGGTTGTGATGTTTGCTGCCTTTGTATTGAAGAAAAAGAAATATCTCTTCTGGAAAGGTCTCTTTTCCATAAGATGTGAAGATCAGAGTTTGTCTGTCTCCCTCTTTGGCACAATGCCTTGGAAGCCATGTGGTCAAAGAAGAGTCACATTCCAGAAATCAACATGAAGAATATGCCTTATGGATTGAGCTGGTTTACATTGGAATAATTGAACTGGGGGTGGGAGTGAGGCAGCGTGGTTGTGAGTTCTCCACGTCATTCAGTAGACTAGATTTGTCTGAAATATTAAGCAGTTAATTTTTTAAAGTAAGCACTTGCCAACGTAAAGAAATTCTGCATAAAATTTGATTTGAAAAGCCCAATTAGAAGAGAAGCTTCTGCTATATATGATTCCTAATATTTGGGTCTGTATTTGGAAAAAATATTAAAAATGAAAAATTAATTCAGGCCCCTTAATGCAAATCATAGCCTTATTTTGGTAGATTATGGACTGAATAAAACAGCTTTGTTAAAGCAAATGTTGGTCTTATCAGTATTTTCTGAAAGGGTATGTGAACACTGAGATGTCCGTCAGATGTTGGAAGAGGTTATTTCAAATTACCACTGTGGTCTGGTGGAAAAAGATTTGTGGTCTAGTGGGTGAGAAATCAGGAGGTCTTGGTTTTAGTCTCTGCTCTACTTTGCCACTAAGTTGTTGTGTGACCTGAGGCAAGTCACACAACTCTCCTCTTTGGGAATGTTTCATCATCTATAAAATATGGGGGTTGGACTACACTAGTGTTTGTCAAAGTCAAGTCAAGTAAAATGCCAGGCACTGTGCTAAATACTAAGGATACAAAGAAGGCAAAAAACAAACCTAAAAAAACCCAACCCAAATCAAACCAACCCAAAACAAAACAGTCCCTGCTCTCCGTGTTCTCAAGGAGTTCACAATCTAATGGAGACAAGTTGAAAAGAACCTGGAACAATCAAGATACATACAGAATAAATTGAAGATCATTCCTGAAGTTAGACAGTAATATCAAGGAGGGTTGAGAGATGCTGAGATTTTAACTAGAACTTGAAGGAAGCCAAGAAAAAGAGATTAGGTGTGGGAGAAAATTCTAGGCATGGAGGACAGTGATAATGTTCTGAGTTGGGAGTATGGAGTTTAAGTATTAGGAATAGAAAGGAGGTCAGTGTCATTCTCACAGTGACCACCCTGGCCCCTTGTGCCCAAAGACCAGATGTGTTACATTTAACTTCTCCCCCAGGGTTCTCTGGAATCCTTATGGCAGTTTTGGGGGTATCTGCTTTCTCTGACATTGACTCAAGTCCCCATTGATTGTGTTCCCCTAATTTTAGGGGCATCCTGCACCCCAGTTCCACTTAATCATTTACCATTAGAGTATCTTTTACAAAAAACTATCTGCTTCAAAGGTATAGGAAGAACATACATACAAACATCCCTCTCTCCTTGACATCTGGAGGGCAGAATCCCTGCTTACACCACTTCAGTGCTTAGGAAGGGATGGGGGATTGGCCTCCCAGTTTAACCCAGTTCCTATATAGTATGGTCTCACCAAATTCCAAGTGCAAAGAACCTCTTGGGCTTGCATCCTGGCACGTTGGCCTCTCAAGACTTCTCGCATGGAGGATAACCCATACATCCTACACTATTGAAGGGTTAATGTCTTCTAGTGATGTTATTATTACTCCTGAGGGTCTGTTCACCAGTCTCAAGTACTGCTTCAGCTGAACCAGTAGTCTCTGCTGGAGGTTCGTCCTCTTTTCTGTTGCTTAGAAAAGGCCCACTAGTACCAAGAGATTTAAAACTGTACTCACTGACCAAAAATATCTCCCCCCACTCCCATCCGATGTGCTCTGAGAATTAGTGAATGCTATTATGATATCCACTGTGCAGCTAGGTGGCAGTAGGCTTGGAACAAGGAAGACTCATCTTCCTGAGTTCACAATCTGGCCTCAGATACTTATTACCTGTGTGACCCTGGGCAAGTCATTTAACCCTGTTTGCCTCAGTTTCCTCATCTGCAAAATGAGCTGGAGAAGAAAATGGCAAACCACTCCATTATCTCTGCCAAAAAAATTCCAAATAGAGGTCATGAAGATCTCTTGTAAATCTCAATTCATTTAACTTTTTTGGGCTTCAGTTTCCTAGATAATAGATTGAGATCTGGAAAGAATTTTAGAGGTCACCTTGTCTAGCCCTCCCAATTTGTATATGAGGAAACTGAAGTCCATTGAGGTTAAGGGACTTGCTGAAGGTCACAAAGTAGTAAGTGGCAGATATGGTATTTGAATGTAGATCCTTCAACTCCAATCCAATATTCTTTCCACTGTACTTTATGGCCTTTCGTTTTTAAATTAAGGGGATTTGGACTAGATGCCCTCTAAAACCCCTTCTAGCTCCAATTCTATGGTCCTGTGATCTTTTTAAAAAGTCCCTTTCATCACTCATAAAAAAATGCCATACTTTCATATCCATTATTTCATTTGATCCTTACAACAACCCTACGAAGCATGAATATACACACACACACACACACAAACCACTATTTGTGTCTAATGGTATCCATCTGTAGTGTGGATAGGGAAAAATAATTTTACATGATAACTTTATTATATATTAAAAGGAATGGCAGGTTGTGCATGAGGGATTTGCGATTTCACGTGCAATCATCTTTTTTTGTTGTGCTATGTTGTGGAAGTGCTTGTTTTGTTCCATGAGTTAAGAATAAAATAAATTAAAAAAAAGAATTAACATCCTACTTAATGGAGAAGAATACTGATGCTCAGAGTTTGAATTACTTATTCACGGTCACTCAGCTCTACAATGCAATCTCAGGCAGATGAGCTTCTCCCACCTGGCTACTCCTCCCTCCCCCAACATCCCTGGCAGATTAGTGTCTGTAATAAACCAGTCAAGGCCCTGAGTGGGCACAAATAAAAATTGAAGAGAGAGCTAAGAGTGAGCTTCCTTGAACAGGGTGGTGGCAGGGGACAGGTTGTAACAAAAATGCTTTTGTTTCCAGAGAAGAGAGAAAAAAATAACCAGTGAAATTCTTGACTTCCTTGGGTACTTATAGTTGCCACACTTCAGCCTGTTGTGAAAACACAGTGTGAAAGGTCAAATATTACCCCACCTCTCTCCCCTGCTGTGCCGTATGGTTTTTCATTCATTCTACTCTTCTCTGGCTCTTAAACTACGTAGAATCATAGGGATCCCAATTACCAGGTATTTCTAGTGTTGATTTATCCATGTGACCTATCTTGGAATCCACCGGCTATCTTCAGGGAAGCTTGTGTGTCCTGATAGCAGATGCCAACCTGAAGGAACTGATATCCAAGCCTGAGACCCCATTTCTGAAAGGCTGCCAATCCTTGCTCTGAATGGCACTGACCGTTGGTGTCATGCTTTCTGAGGTCGGATATAGATCAATCACTCTCAGCAGAATAGATTCATCCCCCTTCTGGATCTCCAAAACCAATAGAACACAAAACAAAAAATATTCCATGTGCACGCCAGCTCTTAGTAACTTAGCTTTTACTGCTTTCCTCTAACAGCATTGCCTTTTCCTTTCTGCTTAAAAAATAAACCTCACCTGATTCAATTTTTCCTGCTAGCATCATTCTACCTCTCCTCTTTCACAGCTAGACCCCATGAGAAAGCTATTTGTAATTGGTATCTCCACTTCCTCTGGGACAGCTAGGTGGTACAGTGGATAGAGTGCTGGTCCTGGAGTCAGGAAGACTCAAATTCCTGATTTCAATTCTAGTCTCAAATATGTGCTGGTTGTGTGACCCTGGGCAAGTCATTTAACCCTGTTTGTCTCAGTTTCCTCATCTATTAAATGAGCTGGAGAAGGAAATGGCAAGCCATTCAGTATCTTTGCCAAGAAAACTCCAAATGGGGTCACAAAGAGTCAGATATCACCAAAAACCACTGAATAACAACAACAACAACCACTTCCTCTCCTTTCCTTCTCTTCCAGACTCTCGACAGCATGGTTTCCAGCCTCTTCATTTAACTGAAACTGCTTGCTCCAAAATTATTAATGATCTCTTAATTGCCAAATCATCTGGATTTCTCTCAATGCTCATCTTGCTCTTTCTGCAACTCTTTCGATAGCGTCAATAACCCCCTTCAGCTGGATAATATCTCCCCTCTAAGTTTTCATGACAACACTCTCCTGCTTTTCCTGCCTGAGTGACTGTTCCTTCTCAAGTGTTCCTGGCTGGATCTTCATCCAGGCCACAGTCACTGACACTTTGATTGCCCACATCTCCTTGGTCCTCTTTTTTGTGACATTGCTCTCTCCTCTCTGAGATCACTTCATACAGCAGGGTGACTATAGGCAAGTAGTTTGAGTTCCCTCAGCATCAGTTTTCTCATTTGTCAAATGAGCTAGTAATACTTGTTCTACTTACCTCTTAGGGTTGTTGTGAGGATCGAATGAGATAATGGATATCAAAGTATCCCATTGTTTTGGTGAGTGATGAAAGGGACTGATTAAAAATATCACAAGATCATAGATTTCAAGCTGGAAGGGATTTTAGAGGTCATCTAGTCCAATTTATCTTATTTTAAAGCTGAAAGACCGCAAAGTACAGTGGAAAGAGTACTGGGTTTGGAGTCAAAGGACCTAGTGTTTACTAAATGTTGTTGACTTGTTCTTTTGAAATCTTGTCATCATGTAAAACTCAATTCAGCCCTAATGTACTAGAAAGAGTTCTGAATTTAGAGGCAACAGGCCAGGGATTCAATTTCAGCTCTCCTACTTATTACTGGTGCATTCACTCATCTTGACTTCAATTTGCTCATCAATGGAATAAAGGGGATAGGCTACGAGACCGCTAAAGCTCCTTATGGATCTAAATCCTATGATGTCTAAACTCTGAGGCGTCTGTCCTCACTGGGATTGATATCCTTTTTCTTCTAAATTCCCAGACACTTTATTGTATACGCTACTTTTTTTAGTATATTCTTTTAGTGTTTATACTGCTGCTAGTGTTCTAAGATACCATGAATATTTTGATTTTTAAAAACAAAGTCTTATTATTTGAAACTACTTTGTATACCATGCAGTTCTAGCACTTCAGTTTCATCTTGCCGTTCATCCCAATGTTAATAATGTATGGGATGTTCACTAGCACCTCTGGTGTGAGGGCTTGCCAAGCCCTTTTCAGGGCTTCTCATCCACTCTGGTGTTCACCTTCACCCAACCCTTAGTTGTGGCTCCAAGAAGCTGTAGCACATGCAGTGGTCACACTCCGGTAAAACCATCTCAGCAGACAGGTTACACCAGATAGAAAGGTAACTGACAGACCTCAAGCCTCTTGATGAGTTAGGGGAACGTCTGCCTCAAGTATGTGAAGACTACCCCAGGCAAAATGGGCAAATGAGAACAATTTGTTCCAACAGACATTAAGGTGACTGAAGCAGTCACTGTGGAGTGCTTAGAGCTTGATCAGATATCGAAGAAGCCAAGGTCATCCACTG